TTTCCATACTGCTTACTCCTGGCTCACTCCAGCCATACTAGTATCCTTTCCTTTCCTACTTCCCTCTCTCCCGTGTTCTTTTTATACATCAAACTGGCCATCCCATCTTTGCTTTTTCCCAATCCCCTCTGTCTGGAGGTCTGTTTCCCCAGCTAGCATTAACCATCAGGTTCTACTTAAAAGTCACCTCTATAAGAACTTCTCTGACCATCTTGTAAAAGTGGCTTCCAAGTCACTCTTATTTAACAACACTTACCACATCTGAACTGTCTTTTTATGTGTTTATGTGTGTGAAATCTGCTTTCCCTACTTGAATGGTAAGCTCTATGAAGGCAAGGACCAAGTCTTATTAACCATGTATCCCTAGAACCTGGAAAGTGCCTGGCATATAACATATGCTCAATAAATGTGATGAATTAATGAATGTCTAGCTAGCATGCCAAATGTGTCAATTTAAGAGCCACAGAATGACTTTGTGGTCTTAAAAATAATGAACATGGTTCTGAGACCAAAAGTCAGTCTCTCCTCAAATTTACCATTTGAGTACACCCTCAAATGACAATAAAGTAATGATAAAATTTTAACCTCTAAAAGGAAGGTTTTTATCCTTTTAGTTTTTCCAAAAGAAAGTGAATAATACTCAAATCACAAGCAACAAATCTTAGGGCCACAGGATATGAAGAAACCACACAGAACAGTTACAGCCTACAAGCTGCTAAAATAATCTCTACATACTAAACAGAAAACAATCAAAACACACAAATGCCTGGAAACATGAAAAGAAAACCGGACGGTCAGGGGCCTAACTCACAGAATCTTTATTGCTATGAGGAAGGAGTTCTTCAACGATAACACTGTCTTATATTTATATAGAGCTATGTTTCATTTCAGAGTCTCTGGGTGGCACAAACAGTTAAGCATTCAGCTTAAAGTTGGCAGTTCGAATCCACACAGGGGCACCTCCAAAGAAAGGCCTGGCAATCTGCTTCCAAAAGGTCACAGCCATGAAAACCCTATGAAGCTCAGTTCTACTCTGACACAGGGTCACCATGAGTCAGAGTCCACTTGATGGCAACTGGTACTGGTACATTTCATTTGCTCCTCAGAGCAGCCATAAGGTATTGTTGAACTGATGCTTCTCACCATAATAAAGCTTAATTAGAGAGTTAAATGATTTGTTTGGAGACAGCAACAGTTAACAGTTAAGAGCAAGGACTTTGGAGCTAGATATCTGTGTTCTCTGCCATTTACTGTATGACCTTAGCAAGTTACTTCACCTCTCTTCTTCATGTCCTATTTTATAGTGTCCTATAAAACACAATCTACTTTGGAACCCAAGGTTGAGTAAGGATATTGTTGATGTGTTGTGAGATTGTTAACCATTGTCATAGGGCAACATTTGTAGTAACTGTTAAATGAGAAACTATTTTGTTCTGTAAGCCTTCATCTTAAGTGAGAATAACAGCACAATTGGAAGAGCGTAGTCAATGTCACTGCGCTGTGCATGTAGAAATTTTTGAAACAGTGTATCTTTGGCTATGTGTATCCTCACCAAAAAAAAAAGGTTGAGAAGTTAGAGGGTTAATATGTTGTGGGGTTGTTAACCAATGTCATAAAACAATGTGTGTACTACTGTTTCATGAGAAACTATTTGTTCTGTAAGCCTTCACCTGAAGTACAATAAAATATTTTAAAAAACTAAAATAAATAAATAAAAAACTCGACTTAATATTTACACGATATTCCATTATACGTCTGTAATTTAGCCATTCTAAAATGCTTCTGATTTTTAATAATGCAGTGTTTACTATTCAGATTTAATTCTAATTATTACTTGGTAAAAAAAGAACACAATCTACTTCACAGGGTTTGGTAGCTGAATACTGAGTTCCCAAGAAATGTCCACTACCTAATCCCCAGAACCTGTGAATGTGTCAGCTTACTTGGCAAGGGAAGGTTGCAGATGTGCTGTTAAGAACCCTGAAATAGGGAGAGTATGCTGGATTATCCGGGTGGACTCAATGTAATCACAAGGGTCTTTACAAGAGGGAGGCAGGAGGGACACAGATACAGAAGGCAACTGGAAGCAAAGGGACAAACAGAAATTGGAAAATTCTTTGCTGCTGGCTTTGAAGATGGAGGATAGGAGGATGTGGCCACAAGCCAAGAAAAGCAACAAATGTCTAGAAATTAGAAAAGACAAGAAAATGGATTCTCCCCTAGAGTCTCCAGAAGGAAGAGAGACCTACCAACCCATTTTAGGACTCTGAAAAAGAATAAAACTGTGTTGTTTTAAGCCACTAAGTTTGTGGTCATTTGTTACAGCAGCAATAGGAAACTAATATGCAGGGTTATCATAAGGATTAAATTAGCTCATACATATAAAGTGCTAAGAACAATTCCTAGCACCACAGTAAAAGCTCTTTAAATTTTAGCTATTACGGGCCAAAATCAGAACCTAGGGGAGACCCACAGAAGTACTTCCGAGGTTAAGAAAATGAGGTTCAGAAATTTGGCAATGTCTATCTAAATGTAAAATGTACATATCATTTGACAGAGATTCCATTTCTAGATAGATGTATAGGATATTCAATACATCCTTGCTTATAATAACTCAAACATCCATTAACAGGCTAAAATTAGGGAAAAATTTAACAAAATTCTAGGCAGTCTTTAAATGAGGTAGACCTCAATGTGCTGATATGGGAAGTTCTACAAGATGTATTCTTTAGTGAAAAAAAGCCAAGTATAGAACAGCAAGTATGTTAGGTTCCTTTTCGGTTTAAAAATGAAAAGGATATATACATATATTCATAAGTACACATGAAAAAATTCTAGAAGAGCAGGCAGTTAACTGTTAATCGTGATTGCCTCTGAAAAAGGAGACTGAGGGTATGGAATGGGAGGGAAACTCTTTTCACTGTATGCCCTTTTATATTATTTTAGTTTTTTACTAGGTACATGTGTGGTATCCATTTTTAAAAAAACGAAATTAAGATGTGACATCACCAATCAATCAAGTATTTATGTCCTGATGACATGCCTAACATTGATACCAGGCATAAAACATGGTCCTTGCTCTCTAGTAGTTTACAATCTAGCTGAGTTTATAATTAGATATGTTTAACTATCATCCTTCTAATTGTTTTGGACATGCACCTATCAGAAAACTGAACCAGATATCTTCTAAGTATATTTCCACTTAAGACTCTATGAGAACAAATCACCACCCAAAAAGTGTGAATTCTATGTCCAATCCATTAGCTCAAACCAACATCACTTGCAATTAACAAACTTTTATTTCCTGGGTCAGTGTTTATGACAGGAGGAAAAGCAGAAGGAATCTTTACAAACAACCCAATTATATACATATTACCCACTACAAGAAAAAAAAGAGAAAAGACAAATGCCATTTCTGGGTAGTTGATTTGTCTTCTTCATTACACTTTCCTATATTTTCTGAATTTTCTACAAAGACCATGTATCAATGTTACAAAAAGAAAAAAAATAACTGCGCTCCCTCGCTTCCCCCAAAAAACCTTATTTTTGGTGCAAACACAACATCCATGAGGGTTACTGGTTCATCCTAAATCTTCCTTTCACTTTACTAAAAGGAACAGCAACCCAAACTATGACTTTCCAAAGGCTGGCATTAAAGAGACTTGAGAGCAAAACCAACAAGAATCATCTAAATTCAAGTGTTCCATTTATAAAACGTTTAGTCCACTTGTCACTCATCAGAGCATAATCCATAATGAAGGCATTATTGCTGACAAAGGAGGCAGGATGGGATCTGGGTCACTCTTCCATAACTCTTTTAGTTCCTCTCAAGCCAATAAAGAAAATTCTGTGTTAGCAAAGTATTTAGCTGACAATGGAAGTACACAGGAATCATGATGTAATTCATTTCCACAGCTTATCCAAGGAGGAAAAAAGTAGAGGTGAAAAATAACTAGTGGACAATTGGGAAGTTTTTCAAAAGGTAACTTACATAGGTGCTCATGCAATCTGGAGATTTCAGAAACCATCACAACTAAAACTACTGAGTTAATGTACGACAAACACTCCAACGATAACGACGAAAACAACAAACTGGTACCAAACATTATGTGCCAGGCCATGATAACTCATTTCCATTCCTAATCTCTTTGAATCCTCCCAACAATCCTATGAAGTAGAAGTGAAATTAAGGTGTGGAGTTTAAATAACTTGTACATGTTATTACAGCCAGTGAGTGGAGAAGTCAAGATGTGAATTCAAGCAGTCTTCACTCCAAAGTCCGCACTCATTTAAACATCACACTATCCCTTCCCTAATCGCTCCTAACCCTCATGCCACTGCCACCTCCCCAACTTGCTTCTGTCACACACTACCTCCTCCCCGACTCACTCAGAATCAAACCAGATAATTCCCTAGTCATTCTCTAATCCCAGATACCCTCACTGGCTTTTACTAATCAGAAGCCCATATATGAAAATAAGAGGTCATCTGGAGAAAATACTGTCCCTATCAAACGCCACTTTTTAAAGACCTGCCTCTCTAAATGGAGATAGCAGGCTTATCTCATTGCCTAGCACTCCCATGAGACCCACTGTCAGTATTTCTTTCCCTGCACGCACAGTCTCTCATCATTGACATTCATTTGTAACTTGCCCAAGTGTTCTCACTCAGAAAATTGTTGTATATCAGTTCTTCCTAATAATAACATTACCATACACTGAGCATTATGTGGCAGGCTCTGTGCTTTACAGACATTGTCTCATTTTATCCTCAAGATAACCCAATAAAGTAGACACTGTACCCAGTGTCAGAGAGGTGAAGCAATTCAGCCCAAAGTCACACAGCTAGTGACTAAATCTGACTCCATGCAACTTAAGCCTCCAGGAGTCTTGCCTTTTAATTATGAAAATGTGATTTCCTTCCAGACTTTATTTTTGAGAGCCACTTTCCAACAACAGATCTGCTCCACTGCATGAATCCCACTATACCCAAGTGCTTACCTGAATTTCTTCATTTTCATCTACTAGAAGGAAACTCACAACCTTCTCAGTCATCTTCTTCCTCTTGGTCTCCTCATCCATTTCTTCTTCCTCCAGTGACTCCTGGACCTTAGTGACATGGTACACAGTAACTGGGTGCCTCCTTTTGTTACCACCAGAATGAGTCCTCTTCTGGCACTCCAGGCACAAGTTAATTTTGCAGGTCTGGCACCTCACAGCTGCCCTCTGCCTAACACCAGGTGAATGCCCATTGGGGCCCTTGCAGGGGTCGCAGTAAGGGATATGACCAGGTTTGAGCCTTATCCGCTCATGGTTTCTTAGCCGCTCCTGCCGGTGGAGCTCCTCCTCGCAGCGGAGACACTGCAGACTGCAGCACTCGTCACACTCAAAGACAGCTTCATCTGTCCCACTGCAGGCATAACTTTCCTGGCATGAGAGTCCCGGATTTCGGCCCTTCTCAGCTGGGTTAGTCTGGGCACTCATACTCAATGTGCAATGCAAACACCCACATACAACGGTCACTGAGCTGCTCCACAGGAGTGAAGACAAAAGCTTTGAGTCTGAAGACTGCACAGAACTTCCACAAGGTTCTGAACACCTTAATTTAAACAAAAGAAAGTAACTTTCCGTGTCCAATTATAACTCTTCATACAAATGTTCGTATTTCTAACTTTCTGCCTCCCAGATTCTTGTATCAGCAGCAAGATTGATTTGGTCTGACAGTTTCATCCTCCATAAAGTGCAGGCAAATATGTGGTCAAAATTAAACTGAAAGTGTCTTTTATGGCTATCTGAGAGAGGTCTGATGGGTTCACTGAGGTGGGTTCACTGGTTGGGCTTCAGCCACAGGTTTTAGTGATGAAAGAGAGTGGCCAGGAACTTTTCAATATAATCCAACCTCAAGTCAATATTTCAGGGGATACCTAGAACAGAGAAAGGAAAAGGATTTCACTCACCTAAAAACACAAGTGCACTTAAAAAAAAAAAAAGTGATTAAATAAGAGACCAAAACTCCTGAGAGAAATCTCATTCTTGTAAAACTCGCACTAGCCTGTAATGACACTAGAAATGTCTTCTCAAAATCATGCCTAAGGCTCCTCCTTTTGAAAAATAACACCACCTCTAGGTCCAAGGCACTGAAGAGACTTTGTTGCTCTATTTCCCAGACTGAAATTCTCTGTTCATTCAGTTCTGAAATTCAGGATCAAAATCACTAAGCAAATCGTCCTTGGAGAGACAACCTTCTATACCGCCGACCCATCCCACCCTTAGAAGAGGGGGAGAAGAGGCCTGTAAACAGCTAAAGAAAAAAATAATAATAAACTTTAGCTCCATCAATGATCTAGGCAGGTCTGGTTACCCTTGTCTGGATTGTTTCAACTCTAGACAGGATGCCTATTAAGGACTGTAAACCTGGAAACAATAGTCACCATTTCATGTATGAAAACAAAAATCATTGTACTTCCTTCTGTCCCTTTTCTAACTGAAAAAAAAAAAAAAACAGGAGACAGAATTCCTCCACTATGCCCCACCGCAAAGCCAAGCCTTCATTGAGTCAAAACAAATAACCTTTTTTTTGTCACTTAAAAACTAACTTAAAAAAAAAAAAGAAATAAAGAAAAAGGATAACTGGGGCAGGAAAGGGGCTTTTGTCACTTCTCCAATTATATTCCTAACTCCCCTTAGCCTTGTCCCCCAACAAACTGTAAAGCTGTCTTTCTGATATTCACTGTTCCTTTACAGTAATCAATCTATCAATCTTATTTTTAGATAAACAAGCAAGGCAAAAGAAGGGACTAGGGGACCTTATTTCCACCCTAACCTCAGACCCAGCTCCCAGTACGGAACAAAAATCAAAACTTGTTAAAACTGAGAAAAATATGAAATCAATTTCCTAAAAAATACCTCACCCTGCGCCCCCACCCCAGACTAAGCAGTATGCCCGCTCATATCTCCCACCTCAAGGCGTCTCTCCAGCCGGGGGTTCCTCACCCTTCCTTCCTCCCGGACAACACCACCACTACCCGAGGGGCAGGAGCGGAGCCTAAGAACAAAGAAGGCCCCCCAAAATCCCCCCCACGCCGGCAGAACCCAGAGCTGAATCCATTGTTTATATCACCCCACCCCCACCTCGACAGCACCCGCCCCCCCTTCCTCCTGGGGGCAGCTGGAGCCCCAGGACGAATGCTCGCCCCGCGATGGGCCGTGCCCTCCGCTCCCCGCCCGCGGCGGCCCAAAGACCCTACCAAGGAGCTGCCATGCCGCGGCGAGCAGGCGTCGGGGGACCGCAAGACGCCGGTGGGGGCGGGGGCTATTCTTTAGGGCACCGGAGGATCCATCCTTATCTCCATCTCCGCCCCCCTCCTCCTTAGCTGCCTCCGGGGCTTCCTCCTCTCCAGTGTCAGTTGGGATCAGCTGATCGGAGTGAACTTCTCCCAGCTCTGACTAACAGGAAGGCGTGAGCGGTGCAGTCTTGGAAAGGAAGAGCCAGAGGGGTGGAGCCCGACGCCGGCGGGGGCGGGGGAGGGCGCGCACAGCCTCCTGGGAGATGTAGTTTGCCTCAGGTGTGCCCTCCCTCACTTGCCGGAAGTGAAGAACTTGAAGGACTACAACTCCCAGTACCAAAGAGGATGCTCATGCGAGGAGGCGGTGGAGACAGGCCCCCCGCGCATTTCGGGACTTGGAGTTTTTGCATTGATTGTGGTTTCTGTAGGTTTCAACGCGTTGTTTTGGGTTGTGGCTGGAGAAGGAGTGGCGCTAAATTGGAGAACTGATGTTAATTATGCGTAGTATAGGTGGAAAGTGACCAGGCAAATAATTTGTTTTCAGGCATCCCGAGTTACACTTCATTCCCTCACAAACAGGCAGCCTCCACTTCCCCAATTTTATGGGACACAAACTAGGAAAGGACCAGGAAGAATTGAATCGATAAGAAAATATAAGCACACTTGTGAGAATTTCGTTCTCTTCATGGGTGCTCTCCAAAACAACCATTTTTTTTCTCTACATATTATTTTCCTCACCTTTCCTTAGATAGTTCCAGAACTTATGAATTTTAAATTATCTCGAAGTTAGATGGGATACATTTTCAGCTAAAGCTTTCAGGCTACAGTGCAGGCTAATGGTTGTCTGGCGTTTTTAAATGGCCTTGTATTTGTTTAGTGTTTTCACTTTTTTTTTTTTTTTCATTTGTTTCTTGGAACAATACTGAGAGAAAGCCTGATATAATGAGGAGATCACTGGTCTGTAATGCCAAAGACTGGGTGCTTGTTCTGGAAAAGCTCCTGACCATTGCAAGGAAAAATAAAATTGAAAATACGGGGTTTTAATTCTCCTGTTGAATATAAGGGAAGAGGCTCCCCTCCTCCCCTGTTCTCTCAGAATTCACTTTAGATAACTTGTAAGTTATTTCTTTGTCTCTTTGAAAACTATGTAAACCTAAGAGGTCTCCTCAAAGATCTGGCAGCTACCTCTTCTAAATGTAACTTCAGGTGGGCCTCCCCTAACTTCCAATTTCCGGGAAGAAGATTAGCATAAACTCAGGTGGCCCAGCCCCATCTCAGGGCCAGAAAGATTAGAAAAGTAACAATTATCTTGAAAACTTGAATATGATGAATTGCATACCTGTAAGAATGGTGTGGGGGTGTCAGACCTCCTCTTCTAAGTTCACAAGGAGGAGAGAGAATCACCATCACCATCAGCCCAAAGTTAATTCCTATGAAGCAGAGGTCATACATAGCTCCTCTCTCTAAACTTCTCACCAATTCTGATACCAGTTGTCCCTCCCAGAACTCTCTACTTCTCTGCTGGGTTCAATAATTTGTTGCAATGGCCACACACAACTCACAAGCAATACTCATAATGATGGGGTTTATTAGAGAAGAAACAGAGTACAACTCGGGATCAGGAATGACTCATAAGTAACAGGAAAAACTCAGGATACAGTTTTTGATCAGGACATCTTCTTCTTGCCCTCTGCTGCTGGGCCTTGCTAGAGGCTTTGTCAAGCAAGTGTTACAGTTCTTAGCTCTGTGGGTCAGCAAGTCCCACCACAGCCATCCGGCAACCAGTCTCCTGGTAACTGCCATCTCGCACCACTATCCCTCTTGCTATTGATGCACCTGTCTCTTGCTGTCTTCCGTGTTACACCTCTCTGTCTCCTGGGTCTAGAATATTCTCAGCACAGGGACCCTGGGTCCTAAGGATATACTTCCTTCTTTCTTGGTAGTAATGAGGTTGCCCCTTCTGCTCTAGGATAGGCTCTCTTTTTAGCCTAGCGGGATGGCAATACTGACCCCTTGTTAGGGTTCATACACCTTATTTGCAGGGTCCCGCCCCCCAAAGCTGTTCCATGCACCTTATTTGCATCATTAGAAAGTTGTCCAATCCCCTTGGTGGGCCACAAGCACCTTATTTGCATAGTCCCACCAAATCAGTTGCAAACCTACTATAAATTGCTATAGAAGTCTTCTCTCATAGTCAACACTCTACCTGCCTCCCTGAGCACCCCATGGCTCAGGCCTCTGAAACCAACAGGAAAGACTTCCCAGGGAGTCAGTTCTAGTCTGTCTGCTCCCCTTTTCAGTCAGTGCTAAAGACTGCTAACTGAGGCTGCTGCATGCAAACCAGCAGGTATCTTGAGTGGAGGCTACACCAACAGCCAACATACTACATGGCGGGCTCTGATAGCAACAAGGCAGACCTTCCTGGGGGTCCATTTGGAGTGTAACTACGCATCCCCCAACTGGTAACCGTCAGCTGATAGACTGATACAAACTCCTACAGAAGGTTCTGTACAGGAGAGTCAGAAGGTGGGTTATCTAAGTGGAGACTGCTCCCCAACCACCACAGGGCCCCTGGGGCTCTGAAAACAATAAGACAGATCTCTCAGAGGTTCTTCTGGGAAGTGCCAGCCCCTCCTCCTACTAAAGCAGAGGAAAGTCTGTCTGTGCTTCCTCTGAATGCAGCCCCACAGAGCAGGGAAGGACACCTCAGGCAAAACAAGAGGGCAATGCCTAGCCCCAAAGGGGGCTCATTGGGTGTGGGTTTTCTGACTAAAAACATAACTGTAGAAACAGAGAAGGTAAGGAAGTAATAACCAGAGAGAGGGGACTGTGCCCCCTGTGGACAGATTGATTAGTACATGATATGTTGTCTGAGTGGCAGAGACCACTGGTAGACAGGCTGACCATACTGTGTTCTCTGGTGTGTTTGGAAGAGACTGAAAATTGAAAAATGAGATATAGAACTTTTGAATCCCAATTAAACCAGGGAGGGAGAAGAAGCTATTACAGAGAGGGAGAGGAAATGGTAAGCAGAGGCCGAAGGCTCTGGCCATCTAAGAGTTTCTTGCAGAAAATAGTGTGACCAAAAATGTCAAATACTGTGGAAAACTAAGAAAGTTAACACCCTTGAAAATTCCAATGCCCCAACAAAAAAATCATAACACACACAAAGAACAGAGAAACAATGATCCATCCAAATGAACATGACAAATGGAGCTAAAGTGCATCTAAGGATGAACAAATAATGAAAAAAAGGACGAATATAATATAACATCAAACATAATTAAAGAACTAAGGGAAAACATAGACAAAGAGCTAAAAGAAATAAGGAAAAAGGTGCAAGAACAAAATGAGAATCTGAAAAAAAAGAAGGGACAATAACTGAAACGAGAAATACAATAGGACTTAACAACAGATTTAACCAGGGAGAAGAAAGAATCAGCAAATTAGAGGGAAAGATAGTTAAAGTTACAGATGCTGAAGAACTACAAGAACTGAGGCTCAAGAAGGCTGAACACATTTTAATGGAATTATGCGACAACAATAAGAGACCTAATATACCCATCATGAGAATTTCAGAAAGACATAAGAGAAAGGGATAGAAAGAATATTTGAAGGAATAATGATAGAAAATTCCCCCAAGGACATGAATCTAGAAATCCAAGAAGCTCAAAGAACACCAAACAGGATAAACCCAAAGAGATCTACCCCAAGATACATCATAGTCAAGCTTTCAAAAATCAAAGATAAAGAGAGAATCCTGAAAGCTGTGAGAAAGAAGCAAACAGTCACATCCAAATGATCCCCAATAAGATTAAATGCTGATTTTCCTCAGAAACACTGGAGGCTAGAAGGCAATGGAATAGTATAGTTAGAGTGCTGAAAGAAAAAAACTATGAACCAAGAATATTATATCCAGCAAAACTATCCTTCAAGAACGAGGGTGAAATTAAAACATTCCCAGACAACCAGAGCTGAGAGTTCATATCTACCAAAGCATCCATGCAAAAAATACTAACCAGAGTTCTGTAGATGGGAAAGAAAACAAACTAGAAAGTAATTCAAAGTGATACATAAAAAGAAAGACCCCTAATAAAGAGAAAAGCATGGACAACCATAAGGGCTAGTAATAAGGTATTCATGCTTGAAAATTCTAAGTATTTTGTTCTTTATATTGTTTAATAACAAATATATAAAAAGCGGGAGCCCTGGTGGCACAGTGCTTAAGAGCTCGACTACTAACCAAAAGGTCAGTAGTTCAAATCCACCAGCTGCTCCTTGGAAACCACATGGGGCAGTTCTACTCTGTCCTATAATGTTGCTATGAGTCAGAATCAACTCAATGGAATCAGGTTGATTGGTTGGCATATAAAAGTCAAGGATAAAATTATGTCACAGGGCACAAGAAATATAAAGATGTAATTAGTGATAACAGAAATATAAGTGGGGAGAGAAATGGTACAGACATAGAATTTCTTGTATGTTACTGAAGTTAAGTTGGTACCAACTTACCCTAGAATGTTAAGAATACAAGCTCTTAAATGTAATACTCATAGTAACCACTAAGAAAATATATAGAAACATACACAAAAGGAAAGGAGAAGGAAACCGAAAAGGCTCATTACAATAAACCAACAAAACACAAAAGCAAGCAGTACTAAAGGACAAAGAAGGTTTAAGACACACAAAAAAAAACAAATAACAAAATGGCAGAAGTAAGTCATTCCTTTACAGTAATTACAGTGAATGTAAATGGACTAAATGCTCTAATAAAAAGGCAGAGAGTTGCAGAATGGATTTTAAAAAAATAAATACATAATAATCCAACTATAGGCTGTTTACAAGAGAAATACCTTAAACCAAAGGGCACAAATAGGTTGAAAATGAAAGACAGAAAAAATATTCTATGCAAATAAGAATCAAAAGAGAACTGGAGTGGCAATCTTAATATCAGACAAAGTAAACTTTAAGACAAAATCTGTTAGAAGAATTAAAGGTGGACATCATATAGTGACAAAAGGGTCAAGTAATCAGGAAGGTTCAACAATAATACATATATATGTACCCAACATCACGGCACCTAAATATATAAAGCAAACACTGATAGAATTGAAGGAAGAAATAGATAGCACAAGAAAAATATTTGGAGACTTCAATACACAACTTTCAATATTGGACAGAATATCTAGAAAGAATATCAACAAGGAAACAGAAGACCTGAATGACACCATAAACTGACTAGACTTAACATATAGATATAGAACACTCTACCCAAAAA